AACCAGTTCGATAGTAACTAGATCGCCACCAGTTCAAAAGCAGTGATATGTGGTAATTTTAAAAAACAATTTTAGAAATCTATATCTAAAATGACGAATTTAGAACTGGTTTAAAACTATAGAAAAAGGCATGCAGAACGAACTAGATCTCATCTGGCGAATTTTGAACTAGTTCGAAACTACTGAAAAGGGGATGCAGCGGGGGGCTTGTTTACTTTAAATAGATTTTTGCTTGGCGGGTTTTTCGTTCAAATACGCTTCCAGTCTGCACGTCGCAGATGCTTTTTCATAGTTTGGTAACCCAAAACTAAAGTTTGTGTTAACATCTTAACATTTTGGGATCTTCTGGAATATAACCAATAACAGTCAGCACCTCTGCCAAGTCAGCTACAGCCAAAGGTATGTAAACGTGTTTGCAAATGCACAATTTAATTTACATTCATTCAAACAAATTTCATTTCAGATTGAAAATGCTTGTCTTTGCAAATAATTAAAAACTGCTACCATGGTAACCCAAAAGAAAACATCTTGTTACTTTTTTCGTTTACAACTGGTTCTGAACTATAGAAAAGGTAATGCAGCGGGGGACAATTTCTAATTCTTATGACATCGCTGTGTTAAATTCGTCAGTTGTTTGCATGCAAACGAGATTTATCGCGAACTAGTAGTGGTTCTAAATATACTAGAAATGCATCAGTTCAAAACTAGAGATTTTCCCCACAGGGCATGCTACGATTATCAAAATCACTTGCAACAAATGAGTTCATGCATATGTATGTACACACAAATTTAAGTATGTATACTAGGGCGGGTAAATTTTTTTCGAAATCGTTCCTAGCAGATTCGGATTCTATATAAAATTCTAAGAAAAAAAGCCCTTTAGACCATAGCTCTAAAATCAATTTCGAGCCTGCGCAATTTTAAAAGAAAATATCTTTAATTAATACTAAGTCCATAATCAGATTAATATTTACTAAAGTGTTAGGAATGTTTTCTTTTGTAATAAAGAGTTGTGCTCCAGAGTTTTGTGATATGAAAAATTCATTTCAGTTATCTATTTTTTATTTAAAGAACCGCAAGATGGCGCTTGAAAGCAAATCTACTATATATTTGTGGGAGTATGTATGTATGTATGTGCCAGGCTGCAGCCTAAAAGTATTGCCATGACTCTTGGACCTATAATAGGGTAAACAAATTGGAACTCGCCAAGGGTAGGAGGGGGATGGGGGATACCTCCCATAGTGAAAATTTTTAATCAGCTCTAACTTCGGAATTATAGTCGCATGAACTCGAAATTTGAAATGCATAGATACCTATGGTAGGTGCTTGTGGAAAGATATATGCATATAAATGAGTTTGTAAAAAGGGGCGTGGGCACATCTCATAGGTGTGGAATCATTTATCAGCTATAACAGCAGGCAGTATTAATGATCTCATTTTTGAAGATTTGTTATAATTGATCAAAGTGAAATTCAAATAAATTATAGATATATATGAAGTTCACCGCGTCATCTTCTAGTCTTTAATATATACTAAGTTCATATACGGATTAATATTTACTAAAGTGTTACGAACGTTATTTTTTTAATACAATGAAAAAAAAATAACAATAATTTAAAGGAGTGACACACAATGGCTAGAGTCGTCGCATGTGTGTATTCTTTCATATACATATATATTGGCTGTTCTTACCGTTATATATTTTTCATCCACTCGCTTATTCCTTACGGAAAATTTTAAATAAAAATTCAACAAGTTTTAACCACTGGGTAAACTTAATAAGCAAAATATATTCTCTGGTTAAATTAATAAGCCTGCCCGGATAACACAACATTCTAAGCTTGATAAGCATTTGGTGTTATAAAAGTTTTATAAAGTTCTACTTGTCATTAGGAAAAATGCCGGAAAAAAATTATACAATTGATTGGTTGATTGATAAAAATAGAGAGGGAATTATGGCTATGACAATAGAAAGTAGAAAAAGATACCTCGTGTTGAAACCAAAAAGGATCTAAAACCAAAAAAAAAATATAAATACACTATTAATCATAAAAAAAAATTATGATTCGAAAAATAATTTTGAAATATTGTAAAATTGTATTTTTTTTTTGTTTTTTAAAGTTAAAGTTTTATTTACTTACAGTAACGAACAAAAGGACTGGCACAGTGAATTTTTCGCAATATAGGCAAATTCCAATTATGCAGTTTAATAATCCATTCAATTTTTGTTTATCAAAGCGCAAGTTTAAAGCTGCTTGAAAATTTGAATATAAATTTGCAAAATAGTATGCAGATTTATTGAATTTTCCTGAGTTTTTCACACGGTTTACACATTTGATTTTTATCTGATTTGGTGTAGTATGAACTATGTTTTTATAAAAAACTATCGGAAATAAATGAAAAACTTTGCTTATATGAAATGCGAAAATTTACTGTGCCAAACCTTTTGTTCGACACTGTACATATAAAAAAATATATACAGTAACTTCTCCCGTTACAATAGTAAAAAATATATAATTTGCTTTGTAGTGCAATCTTGCGATTTTTTAAATAAAAAATAGATATCAGAAATTAATTGTTCGTATCAATAAACTCCCAAGCACAGGTTTGTATTAAAAAAATATATCCGCAACACTTTATTAAATATTAATCTGCATATTTTATCAATTCGTCGGTATATTTTTTTACGTATGTTACCGCATACCTTTGGACTACGTTATCCGTTTTCTATAATTCTTTTTTAAAGGAAAGGTGGTTCCTCAGAGGTAATCTCCTACTTATTGAGTTTAGATCCGATAATTGGGCCATGAAGAAAATAACGGTACTCTTAAATTTGTATATGAGAATTGAAGTCGGTTTTGTTTTTTGTTTAAAATTTACTTCAGCGTCCACAGCTTCTATAAAAGAGTCGTAGGCCTTTTTTTGTTAGTTCAATTGTGGAACATTTGTATGAACTGCTTCGGCTAATACTTCGGCTTTTGTTCTCTTTTTATAACGAGTCTAAGTGCATTGTTCGATGGGGTGATATCATTGCCAAACATGATAGTACATTGTTTGCCATCAATAAAGACTAACTTGACGGAGTTACAGTATTCCACATTGATGCGTGCCTCAAAAGCTTTGAATAATATTTGCGAGTATGGCTTTTAGTTTTTAGCGCTCAGGTAAGTGGCCGGCCTATAGAAAATATTTCTTAATCAATAATTTTTCAAATACTTTTGTATACATACTATTGTATACATATAAGTACAAAGCCGTATGTATGCGCGGAGTTTGCATAATCGAAAGCAATATCATATGCCTAAATGTATGAGCCATTTGCAATAGCAAATAAACACAGGTTGCTTCTAACAAAATTAAAAATTTACTGCTGCAATGCCCTTCGAAATTTTCTGCTGGACTATGAGTTACAGCTTCGCAAATTTTACCCCTACCGAAACCAAAGATGTGTACACATCAAAAAACGCGTAAAAACGTTAAAAATGTATGGTGCATTGCTTTAAAACGTTGCGCCCATTGTGCATACATATAAGTGAAAAATGTTCTTCTTCTGCCTGAAAAATACACAGAAATATCCTGTAAAAACCTAGAAATTACCTGTCAAAATGTTAGACAGGGCGTTTAAAGGGATGTAGAAAAGGACTAAAGTTATTAAAATAACCTTGAAAATTGGCAAAATATGCATTGAATTAAATGAATTCCTATGTTTACATAGCAGTTTAATATTTTAAGGCATTTTCGTCAATGACTCCAAAGCTTAATAGAACTTTTCTTGCTGGTTTTGTCAGAGTCCGTTTAAAGTTTTTTTTATATATATTGAGTGTAACCCTGTAGCACATAGAATCAGGTGATCTCAGCTGTGAGGCATTTCGGGAAAACATGTGCTTCTTTTTTCACATTTTGTATTCTAACAGCTGAGGGAACGTATACAAAGAATTTCAGTTATGTGCTCGTGATTTAAAAAACTTAAGCTTACAATAATTCGCATTGAGCTGAAATTTGGTACGAATGTTGGGCATTCCATTAAAAATTAAATGTTAAAAGGACGCATCGACTTCAAATCCAAAAAAAAAAAAAAATATTCGACGTCAAAAGCCACATAAATTGGTTTTTTACATTTGTCACTTGTAAATTTTTAAATTGAACGCGCAAAACTAAATTATACATCAAGTTGTTTGAAATCCATTGAGGAAACATTAAATTATTGTGTGGTTCATTTTTCTCAAATGCTTAAAAGTTGTAAGTAAAAAAGGATAATTTTGGAAAAATCAATGTTAGCGATACTTCTAGAGGGCGTGGTTTTTGTCCAATTTCAAAAAATTTCAAGAGAGAAGAAGGTCAGGCAAAATGTGTATATCAAATTTGGTACAGATTGGTGAAGTGGTTTTCGAGATACAAATATTTGACATAACTGGGCGGGTCACGCCCAGTTTCTAAAATATTTTACAAAAAAATAATTTTCGCTGAAGATCCATTGTCATAGTCAGTGTGCTATCAAAAAAATTAGTAATTTAAGGCCATTCACGAAAAGACCTATTCAGATAATATTTGTTATATTTTGAAAGGCAATTTGATGAGTCATTTTTCAAAAGTGCATGAAACATGCAATTTTGATGATATCGACAAATAAAAAAATACGTGTGCGATTATTTTACAAGTAGAATAATATACTACAATTTCAAGTGTTTCGGAGAGATAGGTGCAGTCGGATTGCATGATTTGAGATGGAATTGGTCAGGTACAGTTGGCCATATAAAATACGTACCCACCGGAATTCAGAATATTCTCTCTCCAAGTAGTTTAAAGTTTAAGACACTATTTGTTAGTGGTATTCAAGACGAATAGGAAGATTATAGTTTTTCTCGTAATTTTTTATCTACTCGTATATCATCTTTGTAGGCATTACGTACTGTAGTTTAAGAAACGCTGTCCTATTTGATAACTTTTCCTTCATTGGGTATATTACGCTAATTAATAAATGATAAATTAAAATTTTTCAGGGGTATGTCCAGCGGAATGGAGCCGTCCTCGAAAACGTTTATGTGTTATTCTTATTACCGAAAACAATGACTCATACAATCACGCTCGTATTAATTTCCGAAATATTGCTCTTCAGACTGAATACAGTAAAGAGAGAGTTAGATTCGCTTATATGTTCAAGGTAAATTGTTTATAAATATGTTAAAAACAAAGTGATTTTTTAAATTTTCCCCCTTAATTTTTATAAAATGTTAATTTGGTGGAACGACAGGTGGGAAACAATCGATGGCACTATCGCCCTTATCGGCGGTATCGATGGTGTAAGCTATCTTTTAAACTACCGATATGCAACCTATTAATTTAAAAGTGTTAAGCTTAAGGACTGATCCCTTACTTCTCGGACTAAATCTGGGAAAACTGTTATATAAATAAAATGCGCTCTAATGGGGTGATTTCCAAAACGTCAAAATAGAAAGAATCAGTCTATTTTATTTCTAAACCGCGAAAAAGTCTAACTTGCGTAACCTAGTTGAAAACTAACATCTAACCGTGGTTGCACACAATTGGCATTACAATCGAATGAGGCTTAGAAATAAAAGAGACTGATGCTTTGTAGTTCAACGTTTTGGAATGAACCCATAATTAAACAGGTAAAATACACCAGTACACTTCAGTTCTTTTCAGGACTGCACAGATAATCTCATATATGTATAATGTTTTTATTAACACCCAAAAAACATTGGGCTTGGTTAACAATTCGAAAATGATTGGAAAATAAATCTTTTTTTTTTAAGTCCCTTCTTCGATAATGAATAGCGTGAGCCGAAAATCCGCTTTTTTTAGTATGTTGGTTGGTAATAGCAAAAATATGGTTCATTATGCTCTAAAAACAATCTGTGAGAAACATGACAATTTGTGGTCAATATCTTACTGCCATACCTAAACAAAAGCGTCAGCGTTGTCTGGCTGTTAAAAAATTCTCATGCCCATACAATTTGTATGAAGCATACCGAAACAACGCGGCGTCAACGCTGAGCGGTTGGAAACTCCGATTTTGACAGGGCGTTAGGTATTAAAGTTGGCTGCAGAAAACGGCGAAACTGTCATTTCTGTGTTACACACAAACAAACCTATGCTTATTGTTGGTGTTATTTCTGCATTTGACGTAGCGTTGACGCTTTTGTTTAGGTACGGCACTTCGGCGCTAACGCTAGGCGTCAGAAACCGTTCCTCCCAACGCTTTTGTTTAGGTATGGCAGTTAGGCTCGCCCAAGTCCATCAAAGATCAATGTGCCCAAAAAATAAAAATTAATAAATGCATTAATTAATAAATTGTTTTACTAAAATTGCAATTATCTTGTAAAGTATTAGTGCTACATAATTTGGTATATGGACCTTTTTTGTAGAGAAACAAACTAAGCTAAGAAGAAAAAAAATTTTTAGCAGATTTGGGCGATCCTAAGATATTGACCAAAAATTGTCATATTTCACACAGATTGTTTCTAGAGCATAATGAACCATATTTTTGCTATAACCAATCAATATTCTAAAAAAACGGGGTTTCGGCCTACGCTAATAATGAATGTGTAATAGGTGAGTATTCGATTGGAGAATTATTTATTTATTTTTATTTATTTATGTCGGGATGGCCGTTTTAAATACAAATCAAAACACATGTACTCACAACGATTAAGTTGTATTCAGTAGATTTAGGTTTATTTAAGTAATTAGTTTAAGAAATAGAAAAAGTAATTAAATTGACTGATGAGCAAAATTCGCGGTTGCTTCAGCACTACCTAATGCTGCCGCACTATTGCAAGCATGCCTCCTCGTCAAGGGTTACCAAGTAACTTTACAGCTCGGCCGTTCCTGATGGATCGTCTCTCCCGAACGATTTCGCGTCATTGTCAGTTTCGACTTCGTCATCTACGTCGCCGTCATCATAACTTAGATTAGCTTCATCGGATTCTACCGATCCAATGGACCACCAAGGTTTCATATTATCGTTGGTAAACACCCCGGAGTACCTTTTGCGAGTATTCTGCCTGTCGGGCAAGTCTTCAACCAAGTAAAGATCATGTGGAAGGACTTTAGTAACCGCATATGGTCCTTTATACGCCGGTTCTAACTTGTGCGATGACCCTGTAGGAGAAGGTACGTTACTTATAACCACCAAATCACCTTCGTCATACGGCTTTGGTGTCCGATACCGCGCATCAACTCGCTGCTTCCATTTACCCTGCTCTTGCAGTATTCGTTCGTCTACGGCTTGCGTTCGGAAGTCGTCACATCTTTCCTGCACCTCGTCTTAGTTTTGAACCGCTTGTATGAGTCGGTTCGTTGTCACATCTTTCAATTTATCATTGAACACTAGGCTATTTGGACTCTGCTTAGTCGTTGCGTTGCTCTGCGAATTCAAACACCACTGAAGCTGGGGTAGAGCTTCGTCCCATTCTATCTCGTTTTTTGCGCTGCATTTGAGTGATGCTAATACAGTCCTTTTGATGCGTTCCGCCTGGCCATTTGCCCTTGGGCTACGCACTGCTGTTTTCACGTGCCGAATCTCGTAGTCCGCCATAAATTTCTCGAATTCTTTTGAGGTAAACGCCGTTCCTCTGTCAGTAACCACACACTGTGGCCGCTCATATATAGTCATGCAGTCTTTCAATATTTTTAAGACCAGTGTAGTCTTAGTATTTCTTAACGCCTTCAGGACGACATATTTTGTAAACGCACACACGATGACTAAAATGTAACATTTACCATGCTTACTTCGCACGAATGGTCCAAGATGATCGAGATGAATGATCCTGAAGGGAATAGGTACCACTTCACTAACATGTAGCTGTACTTCTCGTTTACCGACTCTGACCTTGTTGAAACAACAATCTAAAATATGTCGATAAGGGCTACGTGAAATAGCCAGGCTGTTGAATCCAGATGAAGTTTTGCTAATTACTCCTACGACCCCCTCCACATTTTGGGGTTGTCAACCCCCACAAACCAGGTAGACTACGTGTTGTGTTTGACGCCGCCGCTGCCACGTCGAATGTTTCGCTCAACTCAGCCTTGCTCAAGGGACCGGAGCATGCACAATCTTTGCTTACAATAATTTTAAAATTTCGCCAAGCGGTTATAGCCGTCGCTGCAGATGTGCAAGAGATGATTTCCCAGGTAGCCATCAAACCTGATGACCAGAATTCGCAACGGCTTATGGCGCGATGGGGATCCCTCGAAGGCGATCCGGACCTACGTTATGTGCTCGCCGATTTTTGGTGCCATATGCTCACCGTACTGCGCAGAGTATATAAAAAATATTAATGCCTTGAAATTTGAATCCAACATGCTAGGTGGATCGTCAGCTGTCATTAACAATATGTATGTTGATGACTTATTTATCAGTTTTGCAAATGCGCAAGAAGCCGAAGAAGTCGCCAAGGAAGCAGTTGCTATAAACTCCGCTGCAGGTTTTACGCTAAGGAAATTTGTGTCAAACGACAAAGGTCTTCAAGCCAAACTGAATGGCGAGAACAATTTCGCAGATAGAGTTGTAGACATGGAGTGAAAGTCTATTGTCGACAAGGTGTTGGGTATGTACTGGAATACCCTCACTGACTGCTGCGAGTTCCACACAAGGTTTCACAAGATCGCACGTGATGTTCTTGATTGCATAAGACCACCAACAAAGCGCGAACTCTTAGGGATCGTGATGGCTATATACGACCCATTCGGGTTTTTAGCTAATATCACTGTATGTATGAAGATTCTGCTGCAGTCTTTGTGGAAACGTCAAGTCGATTGGGATGAACCAATCCCGAACCAACTCGTTGTGCAGTGGACATCATGGTGGACAAGTTTTCAAAATGTAACCAAACTTTCCATCCCAAGATGCCATTCTACAATGCTGCTAGTGGCAGACGAGTGCTGTTACATGTGTTCGTGGATTCCAGCTCTAGTTCATATGCAGCCGTCGCGTATCTGCGCATATGCAAAGGGGAAGACGTTGAAATCGCATTTGTCGCCGCTAAATCGCGTTGTGATCCTCTTAAGGGCATGACAATTCCCCGCTTGGAACTGCAAGCGGCCGTTCTTGGTAGCCGTCTTCAGAAGTCAGTTGTGGAATACCACGACTTCAATATATATCGCATCGTATTGTGGAGTGACTCAAAGATAGTATTGCTGTGGTCCGCTCGACGACTGGAGAATACAAACAATTCGTCGCTGGTAGAATCGCCGAAATCATTTCTACCACAAACCCAGTACAGTGGAGATGGTTGCCTTCGTCGTTGAAGTTGCCGACGATGCCACACGAGGTCAGCCCATGACAGAATCCGATGCACGAAACCTCTGGTTCAAGGGACCTACCTTTCTGCAACTCCCAGAATCCGAGTAGCCAAAAGAAGTTACGCCGCTTCCGTCAACAGAATGTGCTGCCGAGGAGAAGAAAATATTGCTTCTCACCTCAACAACAGATGAGTATGTCATTGATTTTACAAAATTTTCTTCTTTTTTGAAGTTACTTAGGGTAACGAGCTGGGTGTTACGATTCAACTTTAACGCAAGAAACCGTATTCGCCGATCAGGAGAGCTAAAAGCATTTGAGATCACTGACTCAGAAGTCTTCGTATGTCGCCGCGTTTAGGAAGAGGTCTTTCCTAACGAATTAGAAGAGTTGCGCTCCAAGCAAAAAGTGTCGAAGTCGAGCCCGTTATACCAACTTACGCCGTTTTTAGACATCGATGGTTTGATTAAAGTGAATGGCCGCATCGACGCAGCATATTGCCTCCCTCTATCGGCACGTCGTCCAATCATAATGCCTCAACGCCATCACGTAACCAGTCTCTTAGTTTCATATTGGCACAAAAAACTTCATCATCAGAATGATTGTCTCACAATAAAACAAATTCGTCAAAAGTTCATCCGAGCAGTGCTTACGTCAGTAAAGAAGCGTTGTTCCGTATGCATCATCAACACAGCCAAGCCAAGTGCGCCGATGGTGGGTCAATTGCCTGTCGATCGCCTCACGCCTTACGTTCGTCCATTCAGCTACACAGGAGTCGATTACTGTGGTCCATTTTTCGTCACTATTGGTCCTCGTAGAGAGAAACACTGGGTTGCGTTATTCACGTGTTTAACCGTCAGAGGCATACACCTGGAGTTAGCTGAGGATTTATCGACCGA